CAAGCTGGGAGTAGCCGGCTTGGACGCAAAGGCAAGGGACAGCGTCCCCTACCGACTGCTGAGCTCGCATGTGTCGCTTGCATTGTCCCTGGCTTTGATGTTCCAGCCCATAATGAGTGCAGCTCATGCGACCACATTGGATTCACGTCTTCACAGTGAACAGAAAACAGCAGAAAAACATCAGCCTGATACCGATGCATTCTTTCTAGTATCCAACAGTGACTTCGACAGATTGACAGCGAAGCTTCGTGACAATTCCGGTCGTCAATCAAGTAGGAAGCCTAGTAAAAAGCTTAGAGATCAAATGCGGGAAATTAGATTGCCAGAGTACAATCGATATCGGTCACTGAGCGATGAGCTCAGAGATCAGAATCGCCTTCTAGTGCTTGAAGCTGTGAGGAGGGAGGAGGGAGGAGCAGAGAAGTGGGATGACAGGAGGAAAGCAGTCATACTCGTCTAACTGCTCCAGTGCAGGCCAAGAACGCGATGGATCAATTTAGCAAGGAGATGCTTCGGATAGGTTCAATGAGCTTGGGATAGTACTGCCCATCAGCTGTTGACGTGATGTTCCAGGAACGTTGCAAGGGTTCAAACATTTCAAGTGCTACTTGAGGGGCCGGGAGGAGCTTCTGGTCACCGTCCCCCGCGTTCTCGTGCAGGTAAGAGACTCTTGTACTTCTTCTCACTCCTCCTTCCCCAACTCCAACACTCCTGCTGCTGCTGCTGCTGCTGCTGCTGCTGCTGCTGCTGCTGCTGCTGCTGCTTCTCATGACTCTGTACGCTCCTCCCTCTCCATGTTCAACACCAACACCAACACCTCTTGCTCCTGCTTCATACACTTCCTGTCTGCTCCTCGCTCCTCCTTCTCCGCCAATATGTTTTCCTCCTGCTGCTCGTACTTGCCCTTGTGCTCAATGCTGCTTCTGCCCCTCTGCCTTGCCCTCTTCGTTGCCCTCCTTCCCGTCCACCCTCTCTACACTCTTCCTTTCCCTCCTCAACTTTTTCTTTTAGACGGCTGAGGCGACAGAGGCGGAAGCAGCAGCCTCGTACGGCATCATCTCTGTCAGCAGCAACGAGCTGTACTCCTCCTCCCCAGCTAAGCGAATCTCTCCCGATAACCGCGGACGCGCTCCTGCAAGGTGCCGGCCAACAACACCTCAAACCCATCATCACCATCATCGTCATCATCATCATCATCATCTCCATTACCATCATCTCCATCACCATCATCGTCGTAATTACCACCATTCTACCGTCACCACCACCTTTCTCTCCCTCATCTGCTTTGCAGCCCCGCCGACAAGGAGACCGCGCGAGCATCTGAACTAGAGTACTTCCTAGCAGAGCTCAGCTGGACTGCAGCTTACGAGACTGCAGATGTGTCTTCCTGATCGGCGCGTACGTTCGGTACAAGTCGCCCTATGTACGTACTCTCCTCCTCCTCCTCCTCCTCCTCCAATTTTCTCCTCCTTCCTTCTACTCACCCCCTCATCCTCCTGTACTCACTCCTCTACTCTCCTCCTCCTCTCTCTCTCCTCCCTCTTCTCCTCCCTCTCCTCCTCTCCTCCCTTCTTCCCTCTCCTCCTCTCCTCCCTTCTTCCTTCTTCTCTTCCTCCTCCCCACTCCTCCTCCTCCTCCTCCCTCCTCTTATCTCCTGTAGGTTTGGCTTCGCAGCGGCGACTTGGACGGCTACACCACCACCGACAGGGACGTCCCGCTGAAGCTGCAGACGACGACCGACTGGACCAACGCGCAATCGACTGTGTGGGAGGTAAAGTAGCTGACAGCTGGGAAAGGAGGGAGGGAGGGAGGGAGGGAGGGAGCACGGAAGGGGAGGAGAGAGAAGGGTGACAGAGAAGACGGAGAAGAAGACAAGACGGGAAAGAGAGAATCGAGGAGAGATAACTGAGGAGGAGGACGGAGGGAGGGAGAGAGGTGGGGGGAGGAGGGTATCGGGTCGTTGGATTGATGGAACGGCAGGTGATCGCTGAGCTAGTTTCAGTCACAACGAAGCCGAAGCCAAGGAACGCGTTCTCAGGTGGGCTGTAGCTGGGGTATCGACCCCTCCCCTGCCACCCCACCCTCACTCAGTTGGACAGTCGATTTCTCGCTTCTCGAGTCGCTGCCTCTCATGAACAGCATGCTGGCGAGCGGGGCCCTCGTTCGCATGCTGCAGGTACGAAGAGCAGAAAGCTCAGGGGAAGAAGAGGGAAAGTGCGGGGGGACGAGGAGGAAGAGGAGGAGAAGAGGTGCCGGCAGTGAAGGGAGAAGAACAGCGAGAAGCAGCAGCAGCAGCAGCAGCAGGAGGAGGATGTTGATTTTGATTTTGGTGATGGCACGTACAGGAAATCAGCAAGAAATCTTCGGCTGCTCAAGACAAGTTGATCCTGAACGACCTACAGGTGAAAGACGAGGAGGGGGGTGAGACGGGGGTGATGTAGAGGAGGGGAGAGAATGGAAGTAGAGGAGGAGTAGGAGGTAATGGTGAAGACAAGGAAGAGGAGGAGGCAGGAGGCAGGAGGCAGGAGGCAGGAGTAGTAGGAGGAGGAGCTCTCAGCTGACATGGAGCACAGAGGCTGACCAGCATGCACTTGATCTGTTTCACAACAGCTTCTGAACACTTCAGGGAGTGCGAGGTGAGAAATGACAAGGACGGCGTCAAATTTTGACAAGCTGCTGGTCCAGCAGGAGGGCGAGGGAGTAGCTGACAAGTCAAGAAGGAGATGATCCTCCCCTGCTGATTGCCAGCTGAAGCCCAGCTCGACCCGCCACCCCACCCCCACTTGATCTAGCTCTCTCGCCCCCCAAACCACCCCACCCTTCCCCTCCCTTCCCCTCCCTTCCCCTCGCTATTCCCTCTAACAAAAGCTTCTAGAGCTCTACCCTGGTAGTGCATGTCCGTCGCTGAGTTTGACCAGCAGTTAGACAAGTTTGACCAGCAGTTTGACCAGTTTGACGAGCTTCATTTTCATCCTCCTCACTTCTTCCCCAGTTTCGCCCCCTTCCCCGAAAAGGCCGACACCTGCTCCAGCTCAGCCCCTCCTGACCCTCCAGCTGCCGTACCTTAGGAGGAGTCTTGGGCTCATCCGCGTCCTCTTCGCCCGTTCCTCCCGCCTTTGACGCTGAAGCAGAAAGTGAGCGAAAGGGGGGGGACGAGGAGAGGGAAAGAGCAAGGGTGATGGAGGAGGAGGTAGAGGATGAGGAGGAGGAGAGTGGAAGAGTCAAGAATGACGTAGAAAAGAAGGAGGGGAAGGGGAGGAGGAGGGAGAGTGCTGGGGAGCAAGGAGCAGGTCAGGACGTTACCAAATGAGACAGTTGAGTCTGTAGGAGGCAGAAGGTTTTCTAGGAAGGAAGGGGCTTGCCAGAGACTGCTCGATGAAAACTCAGCGGGGGAGGATGAAGCAAAAGAGAAGCAGAGGAAGTGGAGAAGCGGGAATACAGGAGGTAGAGGAGGAGGAGGAGGAGGAGGAGGAGGAGGACGGGAGGAGGAGCAGGAAGTCACTCGTCACCTCAGCTTCTGCGTGTAAGGATGCATATTGCTGAGGAAGTGGAACAAGTGCCTGCCTGAGAGTCAGCAGATCGCCCAGCTGGAAGTCAGCTGGACTCACCCAACCGCAAAGCCCATGAGGTAGAAGATGTTGAGCCCTCCGCCCATCACGCAGTGATAAGCGAGAAGAAACCAAGGGAAGTAGACAGCCTTGACCTGACCCTCCTGTCATCTCTCCTCCTCCTCCTCCTCTTCCTCCTCTGTATCTTTCTCTCTATCCTTCTCCATCTCGTCCTCGTCCTCGTCCTCGTCCTCGTCCTCCTACATTAAAGAAGCCGAAGACGCTCATCTGAGTCTCGGGGTTTCGTCTGGCCCACATCCACACGATGGAGTAGAGCAGCGGCTGCGCCAGGAACGGCAGCCCCGGGATCTTAGTCCCGTCCTCCTGGTCCATCCCCACGCCCAGCAGCCCCACCAGCGTGTTGAGCAGCATGAGCGCAACCCTGTGAGACCGTCAGAGATGGAGGCGGGCGAGGATGAGGACGAGGAGAGAGGAAAACGAGGAAGAGGAGGAAGAGAAATGAAAATTAGGAGGAGGGAAAGAGGAGGAAGGAGAGGAGGAGAGAGGAGAGAGGAGGAGAGAGGTGGAGGGGGAGAGGGGGGAATTTCACCCATTGAGCAGGAGATGCCAGAGGTACTGAGCTCTCTTGCCGTCGTAAAGAGTCTGAACAATAATCAATAAGAGGAGGAAAAAGAACAAGGAGAAAAAGCAAGAAGACAAAGAATAGGGGGATGTTGAAAAGGAAAAGGAGCTGGTAAGTCAGAGCAGGAGCTGAAAAGGTGCAACAAGGGCACAGGAGGAGGAGGAGGAGGGGAGCAGCAGCAGCAGGAAAGGTGGAGACCTCCATGGACTTGGAGTAGTTGAGCATGAAGACAGTCTCCATCAACATGTTGTGACCGACAGAACCGAAGTAGGTGAAGGTCGTGATGAGGCGCCAGACCTGCAGCTGGAGGACAGCTGGCCAGTAGCTGGAGACAAAGTGAGCTCAGAGTAGGAGAGAGGAGCGAGAGAGAGGAGGAGAAAGTACTGAATGACGAAGGGGTAGGAGCAGGAGGCCCAGGAGCAGGAGCAGGAGCAGGAGCAGGAGCAGGAGCAGGAGCAGGAGCAGGAGCAGGAGCAGGAGCAGGAGCAGGAGCAGGAGCAGGAGCAGGGTTCTTTGCAAACAGGGAGGCACAATGGAGGAGGGAGGAGGAGCGTACAGGATGAGAGACTGGGCGGGCATGTTGATGGGGAGTCTCTCCCAGCTGACGAGGGTTGTGATGACACAAGCAAGGAACCAGTAGCGAGTGACGAATGGATGGCTGAACCACCAGTCCTCTACCGGACTCTTCTTCCTCTGCACAGTCACAACCTGCTTCCCCCCGTCAGCGACTCGCGCCCCCAGCAGGAGACTCTTCCTTGGGCTTCGTGGGCTTCTTGGGCCCTCCTCCCCTCAGCGCGAGGTTCTAAAGGAAAGTGAGTCATGCAGGAACCTTTTCCCCCTCCCCTCTCTTCCCTCCCTTCCCTTTTCCTCCCTTTCCCACCTACTTTCCCTCCCACCCTCCCTTCCTCTCCTTTCCTTCTCACTCTCTGACCCTCCGAACTTCTCTTCCCTGCCCTTCCCTCCCCTCCCCTCCATTCCTCTCCACATACCTCATGCGTCAGGATCGCTTGCTTCGGTTGCCATGCTCGCGCTTTCAGGTCAAACTTCAAGTTTCCACGTGCGTGAACATCAGGAGCATGCAGAGCCTGCGAGAAGGAATAGAAGAGGATGGAAGAGAAGCAGGAGGAAGAAAGGAGCGAGAGGAGGA